GTTGTAGTTTATAAAATCCACAGCATCTGGACACGCCGGTCACGGCACAAATTCGGGCCATCTGAATATTGACGTCTGTGCCAGTGCCACTCTCGCCACCTACATCAGAAGCAAAGTAGCACGCAATAAACCGTACACATGTATAAAGAAGTGTGCGTATATATATATATATATATATACTATATGGTGTACCGTTTGTCCTATACTGTATAGCATCTTCGGAATGCGGCCTTGTTTTGAGTCAGTGTCAGTCAGTTGAGATATCAAGTGTTCCATCGCGCTGTTCGTACTTTGATTGTTGCTTTCACTACTGTGTCGCCGGCCCTGGTCCGCAACCCAACGTTGCCGGCTTGTTGATATAGGGCTACTCCACCCTCAGGCAAAGTCGCATCGCCCCGAACCACGCCGAAACCGCGCTGGCGCCCCAGAGCAGCCATGCCCGATTGCGGAAGCGCAAGGGAGATGAGACCTGAGGCAGCCGAGTCGATCGACTCGAGGCGGTAAGCTCGGACTTACTTGCTCGTCACATGTCACAGTTGGGCCTCGAGATCAGTGTCCAGGAGCTTTTGGCAGCAGGAAGTTGCTCCTATGCATGGCAGCACAACGCTGAAGATCAGCATCCTAGAGCTCTCCATCATCTCTCAAGCAATTGCAGGCGCCTTCCTGCTAGTGCCAACTCTCTGACCTGCACCCCCCAACTCCAAGCCCGGAGCGCGCACCATGCCCCCTTCCCAAAGATGAAAACAACGAGACCAAAAAAACCCTAAACCCTAACCCCAAACCCTAAACCCTGAACCCTGAACCCTAAACCCTAAACCCTAAACCCTAAACCCTAAACCCTGAACCCTAAACCTCTCCGGACCTGCGAGGATGCCCTCGTCGAAGTCCCGGTGCCGGAGGGGAGGAAGAATGCCTCGGCGCAAACTCTAGAAATGCTGAACCTTGGGATGCTCCGCCCTTATACTAACATTCCTTACTAGGTTAGCAATTTCCATCAATTTTCATAATTTTTCTAAGCTTTCTTCAGAAATATCAATGTAAGGGATTCTCGCAATCCCCTATGATTATCCCGATGAAGGAGCTGTTAGCACAAGGGGGAACATCCCAAGGTTGAACCCAACTTCGGCTCCCCAAGGCCCCCGCATCCGATCAGCTTTAATGGAGCGGAAGCATCCGTGGCCCTGGCGTTCGTCGATCATCCCGCGCAGCCAGCCATCCCGCTTGAAGGGACCATTCAGTCCTGAAGAGGGTGTTGGCTGGGGGATTGAAAGCTCTAATCTTGACGCGGAGCTTTCAGACATCGGAGCTGCGTTTCTCAGACTGCTGCCCTTACAGGCTTCTAACTTCCATTCTGCAAGCAGTCTTAACCCTAAACCCTAAACCCTAAACCCTAAACCCTAAACCCTAAACCCTAAACCCTAACCCTAAACCCTAAACCCTAAACCCTAAACCCTAAACCCTAAACCCTAAACCCTAAACCCTGTGCGCCTGACCCGATCTCCACCTCCACCCGCCGGTCACCGACATCCACCAAGATCAGCACCCCGTTGTTCTTGTACCTTGTTAAGATGGCTTTATGTATGCGGGCCTATATAACTATATTAACATGGTACATATATATATATATACACACATATATATATATATATGTATATATACATAGATGTGTGTAGAAAAACTATGTGGGCCTTTCTAATAAAATGAAGATTGTGAACATTTATCTAAAGATACATGTAGGGCCCATTAGAACCATGTAAGATTCCAGTTGAGTTGTGCATAGCTGTACCTCTCCCCAACTTGACCCAGGGTTGTTGCGCTTCGGTGCAGAAGCCATACAGGAGCACCCAAACCCCTTGACATGCACCTAAACAATTCTAGGACCTAAGACAACACCCGACATAGTTCGGAGTTAAGGGGGCAGCACATCCTGGATTAGGATCGTGTAAAGGCAATGGCTTCGGATTTAAGGGAAACCCCGGACCTGCCGACAAGGAGTGGGGAACCACCCGAGCTTCGAGAATCAAGTTGAGCATGTACACACAAGATTGGCATACTGCGGTGATGAAAACAGACCGCAACTTTCAATGCCCCCGGGGCACTGATCGCCGAGGCCCCAAAGGTTGAATAGGTCCTTGGCCCGGATTGGGGGGGAGGCATTTGGAGCCCGACAGGAACCTCTCGGGTATTTCAGGTTCTGGGCGGGATTGTGGTGACGGTCCTGCGCAGCTGGGCGAGCAATGTCCGAAAACCAGGCGTTTTGGGTGTTTAGTTCATCGTTCGTGCTTGAAACTTTCAAGCACTTGTATTGCAGCTCGGGGTGGCAGCTGCTGCACCGAGGGGCCGTCGCGAAAGTCTTGATTTCGTCCCGGTCCTCTGCAGCACCCTTGATGCGCTTCACCGTGACGACCACGACTTCCGCCCCAGTCTTGCTCCGGATGTCGCGGGCCAGCCTGTTGATCCTTGGCTACTCCAAAATAGGTCAGGTCCCGCAAAAGTCACAGGGTAAACCCACGGAACGGAGCTTGACCGTTTTTTCCCATGGGAAAAGGGATTTGGCTTGAGGTTTCGGGCTGTGTGTTCAAGCTCGCCCGAACATGACCTTATAACCAGGAGAGTTCCTAGTCAAGGCTCCGTCGCACCGTCGAGCCCCGCAGCAGACGCGCGGTGTCCGACACAAAGCCGGTTCCTCTCCACCAAGGTGACGGGATGTCGCCTGGGGGAGGGGGGAGGAGGGGATCAGGAGCCACTCTCGGGGTTCGGCTATACGGACTCATGTTCTGGAAAAGAAGAATCATGTTATCATAGCCTTCATAGCAACCATACGACTAATTTTGCTCTTCCAATGATGATCATGATAATAATTTGCAGTCATAATCATTCTTCTAACAGGGAAAAACATCGCGTTGTGTGTGTGTGTTTATTTTCGAAGTCGTTAGCTATATGGTCTCGACATGTCTGGGCCCAGCAGCTTGGCGACGCCACCGCCGCCACCCGGCCCTGCCACCGCCGCCCCTGCCAAGACCCTCAAGTTTAGGGTTTAGGGGTTTGCATAGGGATTAGAGCGTGGGGGGGGGTCCCTGAAACACCACTATCAGCTGTTCAAACCCTTTTTCAGCGCCCTTCTTGTGCTCTCTGGGTGTGAGCCCTGCCTCTCGAAAGGGCGTCGGGCGGTAGATGTACTCGGCTTGCCCGCCCCGCTCAAGCCTTAGTGGTCTTCGAGGTCTCCGGAGTGCCTCTTGAGACATCCTCTTGGTTCTTGCTTCCAGATGTCTGGCTGGTGGCTTTATGAGGCCTTCTGGGATCCAAGCTCTCATTCCAGGACACCCCGTTTCCCTGCCAAGGTGCCGCGATCGGAAGAGGTCTGCTCGAGAGTTTGACAGCGAACCTCCCCAGGCGGCCGCCAACACTGCGAAGGCCTCAGGCTACTCCGATTTTCACAAGGATTCCGGAGGTTCGCCATTCGGTTCATAGGCTCTGCTGTGGCTCATGCACGGGCCCAGAAGGTCGAGATCCCACCCTTATGAGGTGCTTGAAAACCCGAGGCTGAAGGCGGGCCGCCAGCAGCAGCGCAGCGGCCCGGCGACGCAGGCGCTCCCACCGCGCCGCGCGCCTGGGACAACAGAGAGGAGGGGCTTGAGAGGCCCTGAACCCCAACATCCCCCAAGAATCAGGGGATTCAGACATACCCCTTAAGGTTTCCCTTGAAAAACTCCTAATGTCGCCGCGCTTATATTCCTAACAAAGGGTCCCCAAACCCAAGGGCACCACCTTAGGGGTCCAAGGTATAGAATCCCATGAAAGAGCCAAACTTGAGAATATAAGGTTATGGAAAGCCTTGCCTCCGAGCGGCAGGAAACGGAACGGCGGCCGGGCCTGAGCCCGACCCTGGCGGATGCGACCCACACTGCCCACCTCCAGGGCAAGCGGAAAAACCCGAGCTTGTGTGGGTTGTGGGGGAGTCTTCGGAACGACCCCTGAAAGAGGACAAAAGGTGGGATTTCCGAAGCCCCGGCCCCACCGACGTCGTGGAAGCAAGGTAGCGGTCCGGTGTCGCCCGGAGGGCCCAGAAGATGAAAACGGGGCCGGCCAATGGCAACGACGCAGATGCCAGCGAAACAGCCCTGTCATCGTCACGATGCACGGGGCTCAAAAAACAAAAATTGCCCACTTTGAAGAAAAGGGAGGCACAAAACACAACACCTTAACACCTCCTGGTGTTTGTTGGGCATTGCCTGATCGCCAAGCAAGGTTCCGCTACGAATACTCGGAACCCTTCCTTCCCTCATCGCCACCTCTGCGGCCCCTCGTCGAGCCCTCGCAGCTGAGGGGTTGATCGATCGAGGCGCACTCGAAAGCAGCGCCCTGGCTGCGCTTGGGTTTTTTGGGGGGGCCGGGTGGGCCATGAGCGAATTCAGTGGCTTTGGGGGGGAGCTGGAACCAGGGGATGCTTGGACTGCCTTGGGGTTGCATCGCACTTGCATCAGGGTGAACAGTATCTACAATGTTCCTGAGGATTTCGGCTTCGGCGTCAAGGAAGGTTTGGGGGATTCAGCGAGGAGCCTCTGGAACTCGGCAGTTCCAGCGAAGGCGCTGTGGCAAGTTGCACGGTCAGCGCCATGGCTCTCTGTGGGGTTTTGGGTTTGTGAGGGGTTTGGTCTATCGCTTTGGGGTTGGGAGTCGGGTGTAGCTCTGTTGCATGCTCGGGGGCCGGTTTCTCCAAATCTGGAATGGCCATCCGAACCAGCTGAGGCTCAGGGTTTTATGCTAGCCAAGTGGAGGCATGGCTTCATGACAGCCTAGATCTTGGGGCCTCAGGGTTGCGGCGACACCGGGCCGAAGGTAACCGCAAAGGCCGTTGTGAAAACCCCGCACCCTCAAAGGCCCGAAAACTGGTTGCGAAGCTAGGGGAAGATATGTGGGGGAATACGAAAACCAAGGGGCCCCTAAAATAAGGTACCCCGAATATCGTAAACCCCATATATCAGGTTTGCCAGCAACTCCTCCCACCGCGCGGCGGCGGCCAGGGCAGAGAGGAGGGAGTTGCGCGACACCTGGATGCTCACCATACGGGGTTCCTGTGCGGTTTAGGGTTTATAGGGTTTTGGGGTGTAGGGTTTCTTGTTTAGGGTTTTTCGGGTTTATAGGGTTTTGGGGTAGGGAATGGTAGGGATGGAATAGGTTTGGGGCTTGGGGTTTCCTGAAGCCCCCAAAGTACCCGCAGACTTCCCTCAATATCGGGCCTCGTCCGGCTCCAGGGACGCCAGACCCGTTCGAAATAGGGACCTCAGAGGGTTCCGAAACATCACGCGCAAAAAAAGCACGAACAGGGTTTGGCCGTAGGGGCTCTAGGGCTTCAGGGGAGCTCTCAAGTGTGCTGGGAGGGCCTTGGATGACTTTAAGGGGGCTGACGGTGGGTTCTTCCTGAAGAAGCTCGCGAAAAACGAACTTACCTAATATTATGAAAAACATGTATGAATTATAGTACCACAATATTCTGCTATTATACATCCCGGCAGCATCGCATCTTCCCACTGCGCGCCTTTGGCACCTGGGCGAGGCAAGAATGTTGAGGGCCCTAGGATTGCAGCCATTGTGGGGAGGAGGGGAGGGGGCGGGAAGGGTTTAAGGTTTAGGCTTAGGGTTCCTAAAAAATTTCGTTTTTGGAGAGAAGGATGACAGCATGTTGGGACACACAACGGGTACCCTGTCACGTGATGGGCTTGTCTGCTTGTGACAAGCGAATCAAGCCAGCCAGCAGGGATGAAAGCTTGCAGAGCTCTGCCCAAACATCAGATGCCTGCAAAAGCCTGGCCTTGCAGCAATACGTCAGTACAGATGCGATTGGCGCTCCATTGGGTTCCGCAAACTCCCCGTTCTGCGCCAGCGCCCTCTGTACCGGATCTTGCCGAATGCCTGTCTTCCACCTATCTATCTACGTCGTCCCTCCACGCAAAACGTATGCGGAAGTATGCTCAGGGGCGCGGTGGACCCGTCAAACGACAAACCTCCGAACATGGTCTCAACCTTGTACGCACGGTCCGGCCCAGAACCTCTAACTCGCGTCTGAATCTGCAAACCACAACCTCAAACAGGGACACCCCTCAAGAAGCCCGAAACCATCACGGAGGGGTCAGACCTTACACTGAAAGGCACGGGGAAGCCCTAAGCCCGGCGCAGGCGCTCAGAGCCGCGTTGTGAACCACCTGCGAGCTCCGCACGGCCGCCCGCCCGAAGTCCTGTGGGCTCTCGGGGTGCTCGAATTTAACTTTGAGATCCTAAACCCTAAACCCTAAATCCCAAACTAAACCCCTAAACCCCTAAACCAGCTCTGAGACTTGGGCGGGACCCTCAAACAGTTCTAGAGAAAGCCACCGTCTTGCGAAGGGGGAGATCGAGTTGGGATGCACGGCTGAGCGTGCAGAGCGCGTGGGGCTTCAGATAGTTTAGGGGTTCCATGAAGCGCCGACCCTTATTCTCTTGCCTACATTCAGCACCCCAGGATGTTTCAGGTTTCAGCTGCCAGAGTACGTATTCGCATCTTCATGATTCATCTTATGTTCCAGAACCCGACACCCAACGCTACCGCGCACAGCGGCACGTTGGGACCGGATCAGGGGGCATCTTGGGAGCAGCTCATGCGAACCAAACCCTCGAACCCGAAGATGCACGACTAGATTCGAGGATGGATTGTTGCATCCGTTCCTGGAAGAGCTGCAAGGCCAACTCCCACTGCTCTGCCTGGCTCCAGAATCCGAATGGCCACCCGACAACAACGCCCATGCATAGTCTCACAGCTTCCCTTTCCCGGGCCGGCCTGTGCATCCAGGAAAAAACATCATCTCCCCTAGAAATGCAATTCCCGGGGGAGGGCAGAATTTCTCCTCCCCTCCAGAAGCACACCTTCCCCTTCGCGGGGCTTGCCCGCGGAAAGCCCAAAAAAAACACCCACAGTTTTCCCCCTTAGAGAGCAACGAAAAAACCTAAACGCCCAAAGTTTCCCCTCAGAAGCACAGTTTCCCCTTCGTGCGGCCTGCTCGTCGAAAAAACGCCCCCAGAAGCAAAGTTTCCCCTTCGTGTGGGGCCTGCCCGCCAAAAACCAAAAATCGCCCATAGTTTCCCCCCTTAGAAAGCAACCAAAAACGCCCATCGTTTCCCCCCAGAAGCACAGGTTTTTTTCGTGCGGGGCCTGCCCGCAAACCCCCATAGTCCCCCCTTACAAAGCAACAAGACACGCCCATAGCAGCTTCCCTTTGGTGGGGCCTGCCACCCAAAAAAATCGAACGCCCATAGTTCCACCCGCCCGTAGTTTCCGTCAGGGCCTTCTCACAGGCGCTCACCACCGCACCGGCGCTTCGCTCGTTGGGCTGCAGGCCTTGCCCGTGGAGGCCTTGGCATAGTGCCCAAAAATGTGATGTCCACGGTTGCCGGGCGTCAAACTTGAGGAGTTTCGAGTTCGAGGTTCAAGGCTGCTGACGACTTTAGATGACTTTAGGGTTTAGGGCTCTAGGTGATGGAAGGCCTCTTCGGGCTTGTGCGCTTCAGAGCTGGTGGCCGTCGACTCCCGGCTCTGTGAAGAACGATGTCACCTACGATGTCGGACCCTTACTGCGCATGAGGGAGTAAGAACAGCCACGCCCTGCCAAGTGTCCGTGCAGCATCTCCAGCGCCAAGGCCCACCGGGCCGACTTGTGGGCAACGCTCATGATCCTCAGCACCCGATGCCCTCACGACACGCGCTGCCCCCTGGAAATTGCCCTGCCTTCCAATCCCCCCCCATCATCCCCCCCGTGATCCCGCCCATCATCCCCCTCCCCACAACCCCCAAAGAAGCCATCCTCTGAAGGCCTCCCAGCGGCGCGTTGTACGTCAGAGTGTCCGGTCGCAGCCCGCGGCGCTGCCTGGTGTGCACCACCGACAAGTCTCCGTGGAGGGGGGGCGGAGGGCGATGGAGGATTCTGGGCCTTTGGGCTTTTGTACCCGCAACCCTCATGCCACCCTCATGCTGCTGCTTCTTCGTCCCAGCCGCAGCTGCGCGAAGAGCGCCAGCGCCTCCGCCCACGCAGAGCCCCGGTGGCAGGCGGCGAGGACCTGGAGAGCGTTGGGCATTCGGAGGATTTCGGAGGGGCTTGAGAGAGAAGCCCTGCAAACAAACCCACTATCAGGGCCTGCTTCTCAGCAAACCCTGCAGAGCTTTGCTGACCCATGGTTCCGGCGCCCTTGCCACCCAAGAGAACATGCACCATCAACGGAAGAATCGGCCAGGCCAGCCAGGCGGCCGTGTTGACGGAGATCAGGTTGGCCTCCCCCCAGAAGAACTTAAGGTAGCAAACCCGAACTGCCACCCCACGAGTTGGAGAAGAATATGAGCTTCGTGGAGCCTCTCGGCATAGCTGCATAACATAACCTTGCGTGCACATTGTATACGTCCGTACTTCCTTCTCAAACAGAATATAGAAAAGCATAGCCGAATACAACTCGCATACACAATGCACGCACTATGCCGGGATATGCCGGGGGCGCGCCACCACCTAGCACCTTGCAGGCTCCAGTGGGAAAGGGACAAATGCGCCTCTTCTGAAGGAGACCCCTCAACAATAAACCCTAACCCTTAGACCCTAAACCCTAAACCCTCGTGTGTGTGTGTGGCCTCAGCACGGGAGTCCCCGAGGCGCTGGAGCAGCGCAGCCGCCGCCCTGTGGAGCTCAGGGAGACCCCCCCTTCTTTTTTTGCGCTCTCTTCTTCACTTTGTTGAACTTCAGGGGGCGTGGCAGCTTTGAGTGGTTGGGGGGGGAGGGGGGGGGCTTTTTCTCAAGGCCCGCGACAGCTCGCCCCGAGGGCGCCTCCACTCACCACCCATGGCGCAGGCGTCCATGGCAGCGTTGAAGCTCACCTCGACGGGACCACGCCGAGGAAAAATAAATGTCCAGCTTAGACTCGAAAAATGCTTCTCCATGCGAACGAAGGGCAAGATCGCGAGCGACCCGCTCCTGCAAGGGCAAACTGTAGCAGCGCTACACTGTAGCTCGCACCCTGAAGGAAAGAGACGAAAGAGATCTCTCAAAAATCCCCTGTACGAGTACTGACTTCGGATCCTCTGCATTGCCTTCTGAGGTCAGTCCCTTCGGACCGTCTTGCTTCATGTTTCGGCACAACCTCCCCTTTAGCCCCAACCCCCAGCAGGCCCAGCAGGGGCTCAGTGGCCTGCGCCATCCGGTCGAAGAGCCCCAGTGCAAGCTGCCACTGTGCCCCCTGAGACGGACAGAGCGCAGGCATCGCGAAATCCGAGCCTCTGAAACTGCTAAGCTCGTTATGAACCATTGCCTCCAAACTGAAATCCTGGACAGACCAAGCGACAGCCACGGTGAGCCGCCCTACCACCCCCCGCCGTACTCGAGTGCTCGATAAAGCTTCAGGGTTCTCCCAGGAAGAAATATTTGAGCTCTCGAACCCTATATCATCCTATATCTGCATGAGCCCTTGCCAGCCCCGGGCGCCAAGCCTCGCCGCAGGCGCTTAGAGTGGCGTTGAAGCTGACCTGCTGCACGTCAGCGCTATGGGATGTTGCAGCTGGAGCTTGATCTGGAAATTCGTGGGGCTTTGGGATCAGCACAGGTTGAGATTAACTGGTTCATGCCTTGTTGCGCAGCAGTTCGCTTGCAGAGCCAGTTGCCCTCACCCTTCAGACCCACGGGGCGGCGGGCAAGTTGCAACTCTCCGGGACAAACGACATTGGACACCTTACATGGGTGGTTGTCAACAATATGGTCCCTTTTTGGATCCCCATTATAATCATATTTAGGGTACCCCAAAAGGGATCATAATTTTGACAACCACCCGCATGAGAACCGCAATCATCCCCACAGCCAAGCTGCGGAGTCCAGCGGCAGGCGGCTAGCTGGCATGGCCTCGCAGAGCCGGCGCAGCGTCACACCCCCCGTAATCCTCACTACGGTCAGTCATTGCTACCACTATCCCTCTCATTTGTTGCAAGAACATGTACGGGAGATTCTCTCAATTTTGGAATACTGGGAGGGAGGGGGGGAAACTTAATTTTAGAGGGCAAAGGGGAGTGGGGGGGGGGGGGGGGGCTGATTATCAGGGGGAAGAGATGAAGGCCTCCAGGAGCAGCAGGGCCCTGGGCCACTGTCGGGCCGTCGCCTCAAGGGCGGGCTTTGGGGGCTTTGCGGGGTCGGGTTGCGGGGTTTCGGCGTGTTGGGTTGGGGGGGGGTTCTTGGGGTTGGGTGGGGGTGTTAGAGTTTTGGGGAATGGGGGGGGGGGGGGGGGGGGGGGGGGGGTGCATTGGGTTTTTGGGGTTCCCGAAAGCCCAGTTCTGACTGTTACCGCTGGTAACGGCGTTGGGGTTCCATAAGGCGGTGCCGCTGCTCAGAAGCCGTCTGTAGTCTCTTGATGCACAAATTTGCGGATGCATACACGTCTTACAGCTTAAGAACTCAGCCAGGAACAAAGACGGCTATTGCCGAATCCAAGCGGCACAAGCGCTGATGCAGGCATTGTAGCCTCAGGCATGTGCTTAAATCTTCATCTTGGCTGTCATGTTCGATTCGTGTAATTACGAGACATTCTGTGAGGTCATGTCAGAAGGCTGCGAGAATACAACGCAAACGCGCGCATGGACCAAAGAGTCAAGAACATCGACTCCCGTAGATTTCGCGGAACCTTGCATGATTGAAATCTCCCCAAACCTTGAGCTCCCAGAGCTCCTCAACGCCCAGCTGCCGATGGTGCTTCCGCCCACCTCCGCGGCAGCTTCGCAGGAGGGTTTCAGGGATTTAGGTTGTTCAATTGTCTTGGGGGGCAGCAGCTTGCTGGGCCCACCAAAAAAGCGTTTAAGGGCTTCGACTGGGATGGTGCTGGACGTTCAAAGTTGAAAGGTTCGGACATGGGACTCGGTTGGGAGGACGGCGCGCACAAGGTTGGGAGCACTCGCGCGTCGACGAGGGATCTGACTTTGAGGAGAGCGGCCCAAAACTCAGTTAATGTTACGATAAACGGGCATGTTGCATTAATAATAGCAATCATACACGAGAAACATCGAAAACACATAATGTATAACAGCGGGACTGCTCGGACCTAAAGGCCTCCACTTCTGAAGCACGTCTTCAATCGCAGGGCACGCGTTGGGCTTCATGGTTTTACTTGAAAGGTCAAGCCTTGCGCCATGCGCCAGAGGCCACAAAGAGGACGCTCTATGACGGTCTCAAAAATCTTCAAGGCCGTTGTTGGGGATGCTTCTGTCCACCACGCTTGCGAAGGAGTTGTAGACGGCCTAGACCCTACCCTTTGCGCCCTAAGCCCCCTCAGCTGCCATCGTGTTCGGTGCCAAGTGTAAACGCTCATAAACGAGCTCGTAGCCCACCAGAGCGCGAGGAACCCGCTGGGCAGAGGGTTCCGGCATCAAGTTCCTGAACCGTGACAGCGAAGCCCTGGACCCTTCAACCCTGAGCTGCGGTGCGCCACACGAGCCCCAGGAGAAAAAAAAAAAAAACACAGAAGCACCCGATGCCACCTCTTCGCACATCGCCGCGAGAAGGTCCAGGGCAATCTGCAGGGATTCTTCTCAGGGCTTTCGTCGGCTTAATTTCGGCGTTGGGATGCTTGCAAGGGGTTGCAAGATCCGGGTTCCCAAGTCGGCTTGGCTCCGAGTTCAGAGCTCAGTGGCACAAGCTTCCACAAAAAACTCAAAGTCCCAAATCCCTCATGAGGAAGGCAGCAACGGTCGCAGTGCCTGCCACCGTCGGCTCGCCTGGACAGCGCTTGTGTCTGTGGTGCACGTGAAGACGTTGAATATCTGAGGCCAAGCCAGGGGATTCTTCTCGTTAAGACTCTTGCTCGCCGAAATAAGTGCTCTGTAAGAGCTTCGCTACTCCAAACTCTACTCCAAGCATACTGAGAGTTGAGTTGACCCGATGGCAAGGCTCAGGATCGCGAAAACACTCGAAAAAGCTGAACCCGCCTCCTGGGCGCTGATGCAAGCGCCTCGGCTGTCAGATGGATTTCACCGAGTGGGTGGCCCGTGGTGGAGCACGTGTGTGCAGCTCGACGTCTGGCGTGGCGCTTGCAGTAGAATGATGTAGAGGTCTGACATCCCCCTCCCCCACGTCGAGCCATGGCGCTCCAGGTCACTGCGGTGCGCGACGCCAGGGCAGGGGATGCCAGGAGCGCCAAGGCGTGGTGCCACTGGGAGCCTTGATTCACAAAGTTGGGCACGAGCTTGAGCCTGACATCTTGAAAACCCACACTTCAAAAGCCCTCCCCAAGCGCCTTGGTGAAAGGCGCTCATGAGGGCATTGTGCGTGATTCCATCCTGGCAAGCACAGCGAAGAATGCTGGGTGTAGTGTAGTGAGGATTTGATGTATACAATTCTAATGCTTCTGAAACACCTCCCCAGAAAAGCACGTCGGGGCCAAAGAACGTCAAAAAGAAGCCATGCCAAAGAAGTCGAGAAAAAAAAGGCCATAGGTTTCCCCCCTCTCACCAAAAGAAAAGTGCGCAAAGCATCGCAAAGCTGTTTCCCGCTTTCGGGATCTTTCGGGCTTTCGGGGCCTGCTCACCGAAGATGCGGAAAACAAGGCCATAGTTTCCAGAAGAAAAGTGCGCAAAGCCGCTTCCCGCTTTCGGGGCCTGCTCACCGAAGATGCGGAAAAAAGGCCATAGTTTCCCCCTCCGGAACCTTTCTGACTTAAGAAAAGTGCTCAAAGCCGTTTCCAGCCTTCGGGGCCTGCTCACCGAAGATGCGCAAAAAAAGGCCATAGTTTCCCCTTTTAGAACCCTTTTGCCGGATCAAAAGAGCGCAATGCCGTTTCCCACTTTCGGGGCCTGCTCGCCGCTTCGGGAAAAAAAGGCCATAGTTTCCCCCTCCGGAACCTTTCTTTGACAGAAGAAAAGTGCGCAGAGCCGTTTTTTCACTTTCGGGGCCTGCTCACCGAAGACGCGGAAAAAAAGACCATAGTTTCCCCCTCCGGAACCTTTCTTTGCCAGAAGAAAAGTGAAAGTGCGCAAAGCCGTTTTTTCACTTTCGGGGCCTGCTCACCGAAGACGCGGAAAAAAAGGCCATAGTTTCCCCCTCCGGAACCTTTCTTTGCCAGAAGAAGTGAAAGTGCGCAAAGCCGTTTTTTCACTTGCGGGGCCTGCTCACCGAAAACGCGGAAAAAAAGGCCATAGTTTCCCCCTCCGGAACCTTTCTTTGCCAGAAGAAAAGTGAAAGTGCGCAAAGCCGTTTTTTCACTTGCGGGGCCTGCTCACCGAAGACGCGGAAAAAAAGAGTTTCCTCCTCCGGAACCTTTTTGCCAGAAGAAAAGTGCGCAAAGCAGTTTTTTCACTTTCGGGGCCTGCTCACCGAAGACGCAGGAAAAAAGGCCATAGTTTCCCCCTCCGGAACCTTTTTGCCAGAAGAAAAGTGAAAGTGCAAAGCCGTTTTTTCACTTGCGGGGCCTGCTCACCGAGAAAAAAAGGCCATAGTTTCCCCCTCCGGAACCTTTCTTTGCCAGAAGAAAAGTGAAAGTGCGCAAAGCCGTTTTTTCACTTTCGGGGCCTGCTCACCGAAGACGCGGAAAAAAAGGCCATAGTTTCCCCCTCCGGAACCTTTCTTTGCCAGAAGAAAAGTGAAAGTGCGTAAAGCCGTTTTTTCACTTGCGGGGCCTGCTCACCGAAAACGCGGAAAAAAAGACCATAGTTTCCCCCTCCGGAACCTTTCTTTGCCAGAAGAAAAGTGCGCAAAGCAGTTTTTTCACTTTCGGGGCCTGCTCACCGAAGACGCAGGAAAAAAGGCCATAGTTTCCCCCTCCGGAACCTTTTTGCCAGAAGAAAAGTGAAAGTGCGCAAAGCCGTTTTTTCACTTTCGGGGCCTGCTCACCGAAGACGCGGAAAAAAACGCCATAGTTTCCCCCTCCGGAACCTTTCTTTGCCAGAAGAAAAGTGCGCAAAGCCGTTTTTTCACTTTCGGGGCCTGCTCACCGAAGACGCGGAAAAAAAGGCCATAGTTTCCCTCCGGAACCTTTCTTTGCCAGAAGAAAAGTGAAAGTGCGCAAAGCCGTTTTTTCACTTGCGGGGCTTGCTCACCGAAGACGCGGAAAAAAAGACCATAGTTTCCCCCTCCGGAGCTTTTTTGCCAGAAGAAAAGTGCGCAAAGCCGTTTTTTCACTTTCGGGGCTTGCTCACCGAAGACGCGGAAAAAAAGGCCATAGTTTCCCCCTCCGGAACCTTTCTTTGCCAGAGGAAAAGTGAAAGTGCGCAAAGCCGTTTTTTCACTTTCGGGGCCTGCTCACCGAAGACGCGGAAAAAAAGGCCATAGTTTCCCCCTCCGGAACCTTTCTTTGCCAGAAGAAAAGTGAAAGTGCGCAAAGCCGTTTTTTCACTTTCGGGGCCTGCTCACCGAAGACGCGGAAAAAAAGGCCATAGTTTCCCCCTCCGGAACCTTTCTTTGCCAGAAGAAAAGTGAAAGTGCGCAAAGCCGTTTTTTCACTTGCGGGGCCGTCACCGAAGACGCGGAAAAAAAAGGCCAATAGTTTCCCCCTCCGTAACTTCTTTGCAAGAAAGAAACGTGAATAAGTGCGTTTAAAGCGTTTTTCATTGCGGGGTGCACTGCTCACCAGAGACGCCCCCCCGGAGGAAAAAAAGGCCATAGTTTCCCCCTCCGGAACCTTTCTTTGCCAGAGGAAAAGTGAAAGTGCGCAAAGCCGTTTTTTCACTTTCGGGGCCTGCTCACCGAAGACGCGGAAAAAAAGGCCATAGTTTCCCCCTCCGGAACCTTTCTTTGCCAGAAGAAAAGTGAAAGTGCGCAAAGCCGTTTTTTCACTTTCGGGGCCTGCTCACCGAAGACGCGGAAAAAAAGGCCATAGTTTCCCCCTCCGGAACCTTTCTTTGCCAGAAGAAAAGTGAAAGTGCGCAAAGCCGCTTTTTCACTTGCGGGGCCTGCTCACCGAAGACGCGGAAAAAAATGCCATAGTTTCCCCCTCCGGAACCTTTCTTTGCCAGAAGAAAAGTGAAAGTGAGCAAAGCCGTTTTTTCGCTTGCGGGGCCTGCTCACCGAAGACGCGGAAAAAAATGCCATAGTTTCCCCCTCCGGAACCTTTCTTTGCCAGAAGAAAAGTGAAAGTGCGCAAAGCCGTTTTTTCACTTGCGGGGCCTGCTCACCGAAGATGCGGAAAAAAAGGCCATAGTTTCCCCCTCCGGAACCTTTCTTTGCCAGAAGAAAAGTGAAAGTGCGCAAAGCCGTTTTTTCACTTGTGGGGCCTGCTCACCGAAGACGCGGAAAAAAAGGCCATAGTTTCCCCCTCCGGAACCTTTCCTTGCCAGAAGAAAAGTGCAAGTGCGCAAAGCCGTTTTTTTCACTTGCGGGGCCTGCTCACCGAAAACGCGGAAAAAAAGGCCATAGTTTCCCCCTCCGGAACCTTTCTTTGCCAGAAGAAAAGTGAAAGTGCGCAAAGCCGTTTTTTTCACTTTCGGGGCCTGCTCACCGAAGACGCGGAAAAAAAGGCCATAGTTTCCCCCTCCGGAACCTTTCTTTGCCAGAAGAAAAGTGAAAGTGCGCAAAGCCGTTTTTTCACTTGCGGGGCCTGCTCACCGAAGACGCGGAAAAAAAGGCCATAGTTTCCCCCTCCGGAACCATTCTTTGCCAGAAGAAAAGTGAAAGTGCGCAAAGCCGCTTTTTTCACTTTCGGGGCCTGCTCACCGAAGACGCGGGAAAAAACGGCCATAGTTTCCCCCTCCGGAACCTTTCTTTGCCAGAAGAAAAGTGAAAGTGCGCAAAGCCGCTTCCCACTTTCGGGGCCCTAAACCCTAAACCCTAAACCCTCGAGGATGCCCAAGCTCAGCCCAGGGCACCTGGGCCATCCAATTCACAGACATGGCGCTCACCTCAGAGGGGGGGCTCACGGCCCACGTTACCCCCAAGGATGAAGGGTTCCACTCTAAAAGCTCCTCGAGAAGCTCGTCCCCACTTCTTCGGCCCCCCGAAATCTTCCCTCAGCTTCCCTGAAACCCATCATAAGCTGGACAGCTAGCTGCGAGTTCGCAAGCAGCCTCCCACCGCGCAGCCTCGGGGCTTGAGCGCAAGGTTCCCCAAAACGCCTTACACAACCCGCAACGGAGCCAACTTCACGAACTTCACAGCGCTTGCAACTTGCTTTGGAAAGACGAGCTCTGGTTGCCGCGCTGCAAGCAGTCATACCTACGACTTCAGGATGCAAAGGACAGCATGGTTCCTTCTACTGACCGAGGTAAGCGCGCTAGAAAAGGGGGTCTCAAGCATCCGAGGCTCTTTGGCGCAGCTTGTGATCGTGGTGTTGTATGCCTTGCTGGGCTTGAGGGTCACATTCAGCAACCAAAGATCCAGAGTTCACATACTGTCGACGCTTGCGCGAGCATTAGGCCGCACTCCTCTTCAGAATCTCTCGAAGAACTTTCGGAAGCAGAACCCCACGGTGCTCATTCCACAACTCCCATGCCAGGAGCACTGATCACATGGAACCTAACCGCAACCCCTTTGGCAGTTGCTAGCTTTCGTGCATAGCGCCTGCACTGTTGGGGAGCTGAGGATCGATGTACAGCTTCCTCCTCCCCCCAAGAAAGAGAAGGCCCGCTAGTGCGAGCCGAGAAGCAACGGTGTCTCTTTGGACCTCCCACTCTTGCATCTCCTGTCAGGGATCTTAAGTGCTTTGCTGCGTGCACAGTCTTCGGGCAAGATGAGCTCCTTCTTCACCAACCCCCCAACACAAAAAGGCAAAGCACAGCAACGAAAGGACGCGAAGGCTTAGAATTGGACTGCGGCCCAGACAGGCCTCTAGCAGCGCCAGGGCCCTGGCCCAGGAAGCGGCGGCCGCGGCCGCGGCCAGAAGGGCGCCGAAGGTGGTGGTGGTCGGCCGGACCTCATGAAACCGAAGCGGCCCCCAACCCCGAAGCCCTGAGCCCCAACTCAGGGACTGGAATGGATGCCTGCAACAGTCCCAACGCGGGCCTGGAGGCCGGCCAAGTCCTTGAAGAGGGCAAGCGACCGCACCCACCTGGTTGCCGGGTGCTCTGTGCTTCCTGCTTCGGCTCAAAAATCGTGGCAACTGCACCTGAAAGCCGAAATCTGGGCCATTCCAGCAAGTCCAACGACGACTGCGGGGAGAAAAAACAAAACTTGGTGGCAAGAGGCCGGAAAGAAACCCCCAAGCGGATCAAAGCTCTGAACCCAGTTTAACCCTGAGCCCAGGAGCTGGCTGGCATCTGCGAGTGCCGACAGCGTCACATTGCCTGGGCTTGGCGTGCGGTTTGTCTTCTACTCGGGGGCTCGGCCTAAGCCAGCCATGTCAAACCCCCCACATGCCCTGAAACCCCTTGATCTGCAGCTATTCGAGTGAGCCGGGTTGCAGTGGACGATGTTCCATCCCGTGCGGCCCACGCAGTCTGAGTGCGCCGATCCTCTCTTCGGGAGCTCCAAAATTCGAGCCCCGTAAGTGGTTGTGGGCGGCTAAGGATTGGGAACTCTACGTCTCAGGTATCAGGCGAGTCAAGCTAGGGATGCCACAAGAACCTCGCTTCAAAATGCAACGATGCTTTCCATGGGGCTGGGGGCCCTAACCGCCCTAACCCCTATAAACCCTACAAACCCCATAAGCCCCGTCAAACCCTCTAAACCCAATAAACCCTGTGAAACCCTATCAACCCTATAACCCTCTAAGTTCTAAGTTGGCATGTGGAGCTCAGCCCAGATGTCTGCCGAGTGTCGAAGCGCTGCCAAGACCTGAGCCCACTGGCCTGGCGAAGCCAGCTTTCATTACGAGTTGGGGCACAGGTGCCCCTACGGAAAAAAAATCAAAAACGGACAGGGACAAGCTGTCCTCAGGCTGGTGGCAGGGGAACAGTTTTACCCGCTTGTGCGCCCAGAGGGGTCTTGGGTTCGAAGTGTTAAGGGCCTCAAAGCATCAGGGCGCGAAAGGCTGCACTGTGGGATTCAATGTGGGGCCCTTTCCTCCTCCCTTGGGCCTTTTGCTCGCAGCGCTGCGAGGCGCTTCGTGAGCCGCCGGGCCTTGGAATTTCAAGTTTACTTGTTCAGGTCCAGGTGGCACGACGAAATCCTTAACTCTTGAAAGCGGGGGAAGAACGTTGAGACGAGGCACCACCGGCTGCCGAAACTCCGAAGCCCCGAACCCTCCAGTTGCGAAAGCGCTGAGTCACCTAGGCCCTTAAATCCCCATCGCAGCGCCGGCCTCTTCCAGCCTGCTGGCCGCACTGGCCCAGCCTCGAGATTCATTGCTTGGGGGGGGCTTGAAGCAGTCGGCTCCCTGAACACTAAGGCTCTAATGTCCTCGGATTGCCAAGCCTGTACAAGCAAACGCAAAAAGTAACGTTGATGAGCACGTATCTTGCTGGCGTGGTTTCACTGAGGGCCTGAAGCCCTACGCCCGAAGTCTACTCTAAGCCAGGCACTCCACTCCAAAACCCAGCGACTCTCAAGCCGCCCAAAAGTCAACCCAAGCCCCTTATTTAGGTGATCCCCCAAAAGCCCCGGCGACCTAAGAAATTCCGAAAGACCGTACCATCCCTAAACCCGAAACCCCATAAACCCTGCTCGCACTCCCAAAGCTAGTGAGCCATGGAACGCAAGCGGGCGCCGCGCCCCATGGCCCCGCGCGTTGGCGGCCATGGGAATTCAGCGAATGGCGGACGAAGACGGCGCGGCACCAGAGAGAGGGAGAGGGTTTAGGGGGGCCCCACCGAGACTTCGGGCTGTAGGGTAGGTGGGGAGTTCAGGGCTTGAAGTGAGGGTTCTCCAGAGAGTTTGGCTTGAGGCTACTTCGGACTGGGAGCCTCAGACAACTTACGACTTGAGACGGTGAAAAGCCACCAGTCCATCTTCATCTCTTTGGAAGCCCCACAAATTAGAACCAGTCGCTTCCCAACGCCTTCAGTCAGTGTTCCTCCCCACTTTCCTTCAAACAGCGCCTCCAAGGCGCGGTAGGCCTCCACGACCCTCCAGGCAGGGCTGGTCTCCTTGTGTCCCACGAAGCGTGTGTGGGGGGGGGGGGGGGGGGGGGGGGGGCTTGAAGGGGTCGTTTGTTTTCTTGTCGGCTTTTTTTGGCATCTTGTTCTGGCTGCAAAGAACCCTTCTCTCTCTTTCTGGAGCTTCTGGCGAGTAGGGGGGGGCCCTCTAGTGAACCCCCTTCCTGGCCTCGGGCTCTCTCGATTCTCGACACGGCGCCCAGGCGCGCAAGAGAGCATGGACGACACTGTACAGTCGGGCTCCCTTGCAAACCACTGGGAGAGGGAAACGGGGTGGGCGAAAGATGCTTTCATGTGCGCCGACCGTCCTTCTCCTCCCAAAGCTTAAACGCTGAACCAACCCTAACCCTACCTTAAGCCCTACTAGTAGGGCGTGTAGCTCTGGACGCAAGCAGACGCATAGCTCTGCTGCATCTGCTGCCGGCCAAACTCACTCTTGCACTGCTGCAGACCTGAGCTTGCGGCAGTTTTGATTCAGGCTTCGGGTTCGATCGCAAGGGCTTAAGGTCTTAGGATCACGAAACCGTCGTGCCTGTCGAGTTGACAGCTTAAGTGCCAGAGTCGCGCCCACTTTGCGAAGCTTGGGGCAACTTCGGGCGCCTTTGAACCCTCAAAGCCGGAAGTGCTGCACTTTCCCACAATCTGCATCTCAACTCGAGCTGGGGAGCTGGTCTGCATCTGGGCCGAGTAGGCCTCCATGGCACTTCGCTCTTCGAAAGCTCGGGGAAACTCTCGGGTTTGGCCTGCAAGGTTCAAGCCTCGGGCTTTGGGCCTACGGTGTCTAAGGAATCCTGGTTGGGCTGGGGGGACTGCCTGGTTGAGGGTGGGCAAAACACAAAAGCAAGCATGCTGCCGCTTTGCCACATGTGGGCAAGAAGCCGAAGTTGAAAATACACGTATCTGCAGGAAGAAACAAGTACAAACAGTGTGGGAGTGCGAGGATGGCACATCGCAAGTGTCATCAACAGGAGCCTTAATCCAAAACCCCAAACGCGACGATGTTTCTACTTGTTCTGCACTTCGTGAGGGAGCATGTGCACGGGACCGACAGTGGAAGCACAGAGCGTATTTGGGAATATGATTTCGACAACCGGGACTGTGGCGGGAGCATGACCCAAGCCCCAACGGCCACGACCGCTCTCCTCTGCACGCACGTAGCGAAGCCGACCAAGAGACCCGAGAGGCAGGAACCCATGTGCGATATCCACCACGGAATGCGCACGGGATACGAGCGCGTGATTTGTCCCGCCAGATGGTGCTCGGTGATGACAACCGAGGGCCAAGGCTTGCGAGCTGCGAGGCTGTTTTTCTCTGTGACCCACAGCCCCACATCCCCGAATCCTAACCTATTCGAAGTTTCAACATGGCCATGTTGCAGTGCAGTGCCAAACGGAAACATGCAAACCTTGATTGAGCATGGCACACCCTATTAAGACCCTACCTACGCCAAGACCACGAGCCCCACTGCTGCCGGAGGGCCTGGCCAAATCGCTGCTCCGCCACGCGCAGCAAGCCCTGCCGAGTTGCAGGAGGTGCCTACCGGTGCTAAGGCCTCGAAATTGCGACCCGGAGGTCCTTTACTCTCAGGACCAGGCAACTCTGTGAGCCATAACAGATTATGGTGGGGATGAGGGGTGGGACTCAAAAGGCAGCTTTCTGACCCTTATATTTCTTTGTACAGGGGAAGGAGTAAGAACTCTCACAGCTACGGATCGTCATAAGCAGAAGAGAAAAAGGAGAGTCCTTTCGGGGGGGCCTCTTCGGAGACCCCGCCGAGGTGCGTCAGCTCCTCCGCAGGAAAGCGCTGCCTACTTTTCTGGTGCGTTGGCAGGAGTCTTTGTAAGTGAGGATTCCTGTAACGT